TATTTATATATGCATATATATACATGTATATGAATATCACAAACGCTGACTTGCAATATCTGTGGATATATTTAATTACGGAGTGGGAATAGAATAATCTTTTGTGTACCCACATATAGATTCTCATGTCATGTCGTATGTATGACTACATACGTGTTCATGTGTCGGACCTTAGACAATACATTCACATACAAAAATCTCACAAGCAATGCTACTGCACCGAATGATAAGATAATAGTCGTGTCGAGCATTTTATTGTATGGTACGTATCAATACAACAATTTGAGCGTATCAATGCCAGTTGTGATAATCTCAAATTTGAATTGAATCATGCGTAGAACCATTCAAAATCATACAGGCACGCACACACGACGGGGTTGTATACTGAGTGCACTCGGATACATATCTATATGAATTTGGAAGCAAATTATGCTCGACAAGCACCGCGCAAAACTTACAGTCGTCTCTGTCGATTGCTGATACGATACTTTTCAGCGGACCTTTGACTTCACTTGGACCCAACTACAACAGCAGACGGAAGTGCACATATTAATAGAGATGTGTAGCATATCAACCGATGATAGTATTCACCTGCACTGCCACAATGTCCCGATACTCCTATAGTCGCATACTGGGCACTCTTATGTTGAGTTACGAGATAGATGTGTCTGCTGGTGTGGCGGTATAGGCTGTAATGCATATGATTGCAAAGAACTGACAAAGACATATCGTGCAGACTCCATAGTATGTATAAAATTGAATCCGCACATACTCCAAGCATATTCATGAAGACAGACAACTCATATGTAAACATGACATTCAAGGTTGCAGGATTCGTTAATCATGATAGTACACTAGCAACAACGAAACGGGTACAAGAACATCTACCAGTGTACATACGTCTGATAGAGATCCCAGCACATAGTCCGAAGCATCCTGCTGTAAGTAGAGACCATGTGATTTGAACGCTTTACGAACAGCCGTACCGAGCTTGTCTGGATCCATGTTGAAGGTCTTGTTTATACGTTACTATTGAAAAATAAGCACGTACAGCTGTTTATGGTAATTAGTTTAAACTATACCGTTCGTGTCTGTTGGTTGTACTGGTCGCAGCAATGATAGTTGCAGATTGTAACAATGTGTTCTTATATACGTGACAATGTATGCATATATGTATGTTTGAAAAGAATGAACCCTATGTATAGCTATTCTAAGTGCGTATGTTGCTGCCGGACTATCAACCTTGGATACATTATCTCGACTGTGGATGTGAATGGACGAGTTGACTGATGTGGTACACGATAGGTTGAGGCTAGTATTGTATATTGAACTATGGTAACTGTAGATTGCCTAGCGTGTATCCGGTAGTGCAGAAAGTTACCAGTCGATATAAAGTATAACTGGGCAGTGGGACTTACGTGTGTGTATTTCGTACGTATACATATATATATATATATATATATATATATGTATGTATATAAGTCATATATAGGGAGCTTGGGAACATATATATTTACATACTTACAGAATACATAGTGAATCTATATATTCATATTTTTTTATAGATAAAAAGCACTGCCAAAAATATTTAGCTATTTTATTGGACGACGTAAGTTTTGGCGGGTGTTGTTGTTCTGTTCCTGATATGGCCATTCATCAAAAGCGCGCGAAGATATACAACACACAAAGAGTGTTCAATTTAGGAGGCGGTGAAAAAGAACCTCATGACATGAGTGAGGAGACATCTGACAACTTTCATGCAAAACCCAACAAACCCCAACAAACCCCAACAAAACCAAATAAAACCCAACAAAACCCAACAAACCCCAACAAACCCCAACAAAACCCAACAAAACCCAACAAAACCCAACAAAACCCAACAAACCCCAACAAAACCAAATAAAACCCAATAAAACCCAACAAAACCCAAGGAAGATTAACTGTCATGCATTGCCCCACATACGCAATCATGAATCCTTGTTTGCTCTTAAAATATATCATACATATGTAGAAAAAATACGATGATGCGTTATCCAATAATCCATCAGCGATGATGCATTTCACATGGGGTCGGGGTTCGTTCTGAGCATGTGTTGCTGTATGCGTGGTTTGAATTCTAGTAGTATATATTTACATTGATCACTGTGTTTGTTCACATCCAGTACAAAATACTGTCGAGTATAAAGCAGTCATATTAATATATATACATGGATATGGTTGTATAAATATATGTGTACATATATACCTATATACATGTACATGTTTATTCTACTGGAGTACTGTAAACCCGTGCACTCAACAGTATGGATCAACACCCTTCGTCAATATATAGTAAGCCTCAGATTGGGCCAAATTAGTTAAATGCTTCATATAGTGCTCTAGTTTAGATTATACATAGTGTTCGAGACTTCTTACTATTAACAGATATAACTCAGCCACTACTCTCGAGTGAAGTATTATACACATAGGCACTACCGGAATATGCGTGGTACCTCTAGGCATATTCGACATTATTAGCCAGTAATAGATGCATCCCCCTTGAGTACATATAATACATACTCTCTCACACACACGCATACAAAAAAACATACACACACACACACACACACACTACTTACACACACACACACACACACACACACACACTACACACACACACACACTACAC